GGGGGAGGGGTCCTGCCCCTCAATCAAGCGCAAGATCACAAAGATGGGGATGATTAAAATATTTAAAGAGTATTGCCTCCAGGGAATGCTGCTGTAGCCTCCCCAATCCTCAGTGCCTGAAGGGGGACACTGGTGTGATGCTGAGGATGGAAAGGCTTTGTGTCTCTGGGAAGTTCCTTTTTGTTGATAACAACAGCAGCAGGGTGGAACTAGATGATATCTAAGGTTCCTTCCGACTCAAACCATTCTGTGATTCTATGATTTAACATCTGGTAGGGTCCTGGAAAATTCCTTCAGCCCCATTCCCCATACAGCAGTGGCTCTGGGCAGACGTAGCAGCAGCTCAGGGGGCAGCCAGCCAGCTCTTCTCCTCCTCCCTTCTCTTTTCACACAGACTGCTGCTGATTTTCTCAGGCAAGGTGGGCACGGGGCCCTCGAGCAGCACCAGAGCACCCCACAACTCCAGGAGCGGGCACAAGCTCTGCTGGGCATGGTCGGACAGCCCCTGGGAGCCTCCAGTTCCTGCCACACCGTGCTGCCTGCCTTCTCCTAGGCCCCACCACCTCCTGCACTCCAAGGAGGAGTAAACCCTTTGTTCACCCCGTGCCCTGCTTTCCCCAGGGCAGGGTAGGGGTCTAACTGCTTGCTGTGAGCATCAGCGCTGACTGCACAGGGGATGCTGCTCCTTAGCAAGGTACAGCTGTTTCTGTCCTTGTCACCAGCAGGCTCCCCAGAGCTTGGCGTGGGGGCAGAGCTAAGCCGCGACGCCGGGCAGACAGTCTGGGGTATAAACCCTGCCAGAGTGGCCGTTCCCTCCAGTATCTCCTTTTGGCTTTAAACCCCACACGTGATGCTCAGGGTAAGCACGTTGTGTTTATGCAATTGATAAGTTAAAGATACACATTTTCTATTAAAGATTGTCAGTCAACTCTTCAGCATGCGCGTGTTTACTGTCCGCCTTCACGCCTTGCTCTTCACAATGCTCTCCAAGGCCTTGGCCACTTCGTCTGCGGTCAGGTTGTCCAGCGGCACGCTCTTCTCCTTGCCAAACTCTGTAGGGAAGACAGAGGGTAAGCAACGGTGCAGATGCCTGGGTCCTTTTCTGGCATCACAATCCTGGGTCCCAAGACCACCCTTTCACACCCGCCACTCCCCAACCTGTGCCCAGGTTATTGTTTCCACATTCCCCTTTATTCTCAGCCTTGGAGAGAAGCTGTTACATCCCCACACGGTTCCTTGCCTTCTTTTTGTTAACCTTGGCTACGTAGCAGCTGGGTAGAGGCCGCTGCCACCACATCCCAAAGCAGCCTGGTGGCTTTTGGCCTCTTTGTATCAAGATGCTCAGCCAACCCTTCAGTAAAATAGCACTGAAAAACTTGCTGTTCCTACAGCAGCCACTAGAGCTGGGCCACGTGTTTGGTGCTTAAAAGAGTCACTGCATCTCTTTGAAAGTTTCTCGATTATTTTTGTCTGGCCCAGACAGCTTTAGGAAGGAAACAAAGCTCTTCTCCCTCATTGGCACTGCAGTGAGAAGGTATCCTGCAGGGGCAGATCATAGCCACAAGCTGGCAAAGTACCCTCTACATCCCACATCCTTTTTCTGCCTCCCACCAGGTCTCACAGCTTCTCTGGCCAGTCCACACTGCCTTGTGGAGAGCTGATCCCTCTCCATCAACATCCCTTACTGTAATCACTAAACCCCCCATTTGCTGCAGACCACAGGACTCTGGCACTGACCTTGGGTGGTAGGTACCCCCCCACACTACTTACCATATCGAGCCCAGAGCTTGGGCTGAACACCGGAGCATTCACGGATCAGGATGGGGAAGTCTGGATTTGCCTTCTTCAGGGTCACATAGTGCTGCTCAATGAAGTCTCTGAGAAGGTAAGCAGGAACTCCATGAGTAACTCATCAAATCACATCATAGAGGGGTTTGGCTTGGAAGGGACCTTAAATATCATCTCATTCCAACCCCCCCGCCGTGGGCAGGGACACCTCCCACCAGATCAAGTAGCTCAAAGCCCCGTCCAGCCTGGCCCTGTGAAGAGGGTCCCTTTCGGAGAGCTGACCAAGTAACGACAATCCCACTGATGCAATTCCATGCCGTCCTCAATTTATTGCTCAAATTAGCCCAATATATATACGGTTAGGCAGTGTACACACACACCAGGTGCAAGTTATAATAAGCTTTGTTTTCTGTTAACGTTATCAAGCCACGGGGGTGTTAGATGCCCTTGCTGTGGTTAGA